TCTAACGATATTGTAGCAGTTTTTCATTGCCTAAAAACACGGACAAAAAGACATTTTCTAAAAATAAATCCTAGCTAGATCGATTTATTGCCCCCGAAACTCCCTGCACACAAAATTTTATGAAAGGAGCCGTTTCTGAGATTCTGAAAAAAAATATATATATATGTATAAGGATTGCTCGTTTAAAGGTATAGGATTAAATTAAAATAAAATGTTACTAATTGGTACAGAAAGTAACATTACCCTTTGTATTCTTATTTTAACGCCGCCCTGGGGGCAGAAAAAGTCGTGGGTTGTTTTGACCGATGTCGCAAAATATTTTGACTTTGTTTATATGACTCAAGTTTGTGAAACATACCGCAATCTTTTGAGTTCAATATACAAAATATTATAATGTAAAACCACAGCGAATTACGGTACCTACGATACTAGTTCCACCTCCCTACACCTACACTACAAATAGACAACGCGTTGAGCGACTGCGACTTGTTTATTTCTCCGTGCGAAAGTGTTTTAGTGTCTTAGATGCTTGTCTATAATTTTATTTGTAAACAAGCTCTTGCGTACATCTTCATGTAATACTTTTTTTTAAAGAGTAGGTATTATAACTATGTCGCTAACATCGCTGTTACGAGGGTGGGTCAAAAAGTTCGCGGAATGGAGGGGTTAGAGAGAGGGGGTTAAATTTTTTAACTGTCACTACTTCGTGACTCAATACAACTATGAATAACAAATTTCAGCCAGATCGGTTCGTTAATCTTTAAGATATCACGGGATGAATAAGTCAATCGGGAAATGAATATTAAGTATGAAGAAAATTAAGTTTTGTGCCATAATTAAGTTCCTCACTAAGTAAGGAAAATTGCCAAATATCATTTCGGAAGTGATGGCATCTGTTTACCGAGATTCTCACCCTAGAAAAACTGATATCTAAATTGTATAGCCTTTTCAAGCAAGGCAGAGACTCGATTGAAGACGATCAGCGCTCAAGCAGATGATTGAGCCAACTTACGATATTGTCAAATAAGTTAAAAAACTTGTTCTTGAAGATGCTCGTATGAAGAAAAAACAGATCTCAGAAAAATGACTCGAGTAACTCGAGTACCGTTTTAAACATTCTCCATGACCATCTGGGAATATCTACGGTCAGTGCAAGGTAGGAGCCAAGAATGCTCACACCGCTTTATAAACAGCAGCCGGTCGAGTGTTCGCGCAAGTTTTAGAACTTGTATAGTGATAACAGGGACGAAATGATGAACCGAATTGTGACTGGTGCTGAAACTTGAGTTCATCGCTATAAACCTAAGTCTAAGCAGGAATCCACGCAGTGACAAAAAAAGGCGCAGCACCGCATAATAGAAAGTTCAAGGTGTCACAATCGGCTGGAGAGACTGGTTTCAGTTTTTTTGGGATTCAGAGTGGATTTTATTTATATACTAGCTTGCCAGGCAGACTTTGTTCTGCCCTTTTCGGCGACCTTTTGTCATGTCCTGTTAAAAACCTTAAATTCGCGAAAAAATTTTGGGTCACTCATGGGCAAAAAAAATATCCTATCTCTCAAGTTGGACCAAACTGCACACGGTGTGCAAATTCGATCAAAATCGGTTAAGTAGTTTAGGAGTCCATCGCGGATAAACAACTTGACACGTAATTTATATATATTAAGATTATAAGGATTATCATTCATCATCATTATTATAGCCCTTGTGACTGTAACCGTGGTGACTTGTGAAATTTTACGTACAGGGAGAACCATATGAAGAGTGAACTAGGTTATATTTAATCTTGAAAAGCTTTGAGATTAAGAAAAAGACCGAAAATTGCTAAAATAAATGGTCTTTGCTTATAACGCTTTATCAATGATTCTATCCAGGCGAAACCAGGGAGTGTGGATAATTGTAAATAAAATTAAATATGAATCCATTTATAGTGACAACCTCAATATTGCTATTAGCCCGATACAAGCAACAAGCAAAATCAATGCTTATCCTTATCATTGATGGTATGTGTCAATCGTGATTCGACGGGCCGGATGCGGTGCAAATGTATGCACGGAATGCGTTCGCGGTGCGTGGTCACGCGTGCTTCTCCACCACTGCCGCATTTCCGCACTGTGTCGCTCTACACGTCGGCTAACTCGCTCACCGCTAGCCCCTGTCACCCTGGCAGACTGTATTTGGCTTTACAGGCCGATGCATTATTATGCAAGTAGCTTTATTAATTCATGTAAACTAGGAATTTAGGCATCGTCCTAATAACGTCTAAAATAAAAGACTACGGTTGGCCAACCCGCTTGCCAAACGTGGCAACCATTGGAAATATCCCCTATATGGGCAATCTGTGTGGGAAACCTATGTACCGCAGTAAACTTTAATGTGCTATAACGGCTATCGCATAACTAACTCAAGTTAAACCTTAATACTTTATAAGTTTATAACATAACGTAATAATTAAAACTATATATAAAGGCAGTGTTCTGATGTTAATTTTCTGAACGCTCATGGAATATGTAACGTAAAACACTGCTAAATGACGATTAATTTACCATTTAAGACCTGAATGCTCCTGAGAGTTGCACTTGTGTAAATTCTGACCAATTTTGAATATCAGCGGGTCAATGTCTTATTAATTACAAATTTGCCACTTACTCTTGTGTCAACGAATAAGCTTTCTTAATAACTTAATTTTACTAGTGCACGAACTACGAATTTATATTGCTTACTTTTGATATCGTATGCGAATATAGGCTTTAGTTGAAAGGAATAAAAATAATCTAATCATAATACATAATACAACAACTGTTACTAATATTTAATATATTTTAGTAGCAAAAGTAAAATATGACAGATACGTATGCGCCGAGCTTTTTATATTTATTCTTACCGTCTGTGTCAATGATAAATTACAATAGAATTTTAACTCTATATTTATTCTACTTATGTGTGTGTGTGTCAGGTATTAAGTTGTATGATATATATGTTCCTTAAAATACGCGTGTTATGATAGGAATTAAAACATGTATAACGCATGTAGCGGGCACGTGGGGGCTTGGTGGGGAAAGTAAAGGCCTCGCCGCGGCGACAGGGTTGCCCTTGACAGAGCTGGTTATGCCAACTCCGACGCAGAACGTGCTCCAAGATGCTTATTAAGCTTGACAAGTTTTATTACAGAGGCTGTTATCTTGGTCTGTGGGTTTATCTAGTGGGCTTGAAAGGGAAGGACTCGTATAAAATAAATATATTAGTATTTAGTCGTTAAGAAACTTTGTATTAAATTTGATGTACATAAAGTACGTTTTGATAGTGAAATTTATAGGATATGTAAAAGCCTTTTAAGTCTCGTAAAATGCTTATTGACTTAACTACCCTAAAGGTTCTGGGTTGTTAAATAAATGCGGGCACGCTGAAGATAATTCGCACACTGTATTGTTTTGAATGAAAGGGCGTCAAGTCCTCAAATCTTTTGTTTGAGAGGTCGTCATTTATTGTTTGTTTTTTACGACACTGGTCGGATCCGGGTGGACCGAAAGTCCCCGTTAGCGCTGCTCTGCTGTCATTAAAGGTTGTAAACAAATAGATATATAGTTAAGCGTATATGTCAACGCTGTTATCTATGATTCACCGGCGCCTCGCCGTCTGCCTACTGTCTGATCGTGCCGACAAATTGTAACACCACGATAATATTCGATCATTGAATTAATACAATCCTTCCTCGTGCCTCTTTTATAAACATCACTTCATGAAAAGCCCAAACCAATATTTAGGTATGTATTTCGCTTTGCGTGCCTCGCTATTTGCGTACGCTACAGGCTCTCACGTAACACTAACATAACTAACTGCACAATTCCAAATCGACCCACATAAAAGCTGCACCACCACTTTCGTCGTCGCAAATCACTGCTGTTCGTATCTCGGCCTCGGTCAATGCGTTGCGTGCATGTCGTAGGCACATATACGGATGCAATAAAGTGCAACGAGAATTCGCAGGCTAGCGGTGCATGCGGCTCACGTGCCGCCGGAAAACGAAAGTGATCCGCTGCGTCTCTCCGCCCTCGATTGATGCCCGGGCTTAGACGAACCCTCGTTAACTGTATTATTCAAATTGTGTGCACTTGTGTGTGCTCCTAACACTATGTTCTACGTATCGATCACTCACACGTTACTTTACTACGTTTTAACGTTTGCACTCTCGAATACAATTTAATTCATGCAATTATGTGCTTGTAACATATTAAACGACAGTGTTTTGAAGCGTTCTCGACTATTTACCCTACTTAACTGGGTAACAGATTGGCAACTACTCACACGCCTTTGTGAATGATTCCCAATATGTGACGCATAAGTTACAATTGGATTCAATTGATGTAACTGCAATATAAGTAAAGTAGATAAAGTTACAGCCCTATAAAGGTCGCACTGCTGTCCACAGGTCTTCTCTAATTTCTTGTAGAGTTTTCATATGGACTTCACATGCATGCATGCCTTTTGCATGCAATCTGTAATTCGTTAAACCTGCTTCTAATATGATAAAATTTATTTACTCACATCTGACCAAGCCAGTTTCAATTGTTTTTGGCTTGTCTTATGAAAAAGGACAGAAGAAAAAAACAGAATTATCATTGATGCTATGTGCATTTTATTTTGCCACAAATCTTAGAAAACAAAAACACAATCTTACAGAAATAACAAATATATGATGCACATTTAAGCGCGTAAAATATATTTTCTTTCTTTCTTTCTTTTTTCTTAAAAAAAAAAAAGAATATTAACATTATTAATATTCCCCGTAACCACTCGTGGTAAGCTTAAATTGCTTGTGTTACGAGTGGTTCACGCCAGTAGTCGAATGGTGGATTCGAACCCACGACCTTTTTGAGTTCGCGGTCCGCGCCCTGCCATTAGGCTACTGTCGCTTTAAATTTATTACATATATATTAATTAGTATTTAAATTACTGGTGATATGATTTGGTGCCATAATGGATGCGTACGTTGTGTTTCAGGCACGCAGAACGTACCGATGCCCCCGCGGCCGTCGTCGTCGCTGTCGGACGGCAGCGCGCCCGCGCGCGGCGCCGTGCCGGCGGGCGGAGCGCCGGGCGCAATGGTGGCGCAGCCCTACCACCACGCATACAAGGCGGCGCACTACCCGCCGCAGCCCTACGGCTACCCGCCGAGAAACCACCACCCGTACCCGTACGCCGGCTACCGCCCGGCGCCGCCGCCGCCGCATCCGCCGCAGCACTATCCTCCCCTCAAGGTATATAATGATACAATAATAAATAACATTTCTTTATACATATTATATGTGCCCCGTGGACGGACACGTACAATTTGCTTCGATGATTTTGATGTTCGCTAGATGATTTTGATGTTCGTAAAGGCACTGGCGTCAGATATCCCAACATCATAACGTGGAATTAATAGCAATTACCAGTTTATATTTGGTGGAAATTTAGTCGAATGTTAATTTTATAATTTGCCGTGACCGCCTCGTTGGTCTAGTGAGATAGTAAGCTTGTGTTTTTTTTTAAAAATTCTCGCCATCAATAGCAGTCCATTTTACTCCCGTGCCTCGAAAAGCACGTAAAGACGTTCGTAGAAGAATCATGTTGCATTAATCTCCCATCGGACTAAGATAGAGATTATAAAATGTGCTCCCAAAGTTACGCACACTCGTATAATATAATCCCATCATGTACAGATTGTAGTCCCCGTTGAGGCTGGCCGCCGTGACTGAAATTCGGTCTGAAGTACATTATTATAATTATTTTATTTTCGTAGGTCTGACCGCTCAGCAATGCAACTATTATTGTATTCCAATTGAAAGGTAAAGAGAGTAAACTGAAAAGATATGCAGCATCTAAGTTTGTTCTTGGAAGTGCACTTATTTCTTTTTCTTTATTAGGATTTGGTTGCAGGTTTCATGGACTGCAAGCTCGTTTCTTACTCAAAATTAAAATATATAACTTTGTCTTTGGTTATAGCTTCGTATTATGGTCATTGGAATTGGATGGATTTGGTTGCATTCATTAAAATATATTTTACATAGTAAGGTGAATTGTCTTATTGCAGTCTTCAGTAGATTTTAACTACAGCTTAACTCAGTCAGGCGAAGGCGAGTGTCTATTTCAATGTATGAAACAGAAACAGAAACAGAAACTTTTTTATTCAATGTAGATTATAAGCAATACTTATTGAAAGTCAATTTTTTCATTTACCACTGGTTCGCAAAAAAAACCTCTGTCCTGGGAAGAACCAGCAAGAAACCCAGCGGGACTATGTTTTTTCTTCAAATAATAGCTTACAATCATGTTTACAATTAACAACACAACACAAATTAGAAATAGCTTGGTAGCGATCATCCTTCCCAGGGGTTACTATCATCCATAAATTCCTTAATATTATAATAACCCTTTTTATACAAACTCAGTTTAATAAAATTTTTGAACTTTGTGTATGACAAATTTTGTATATTTTCTGAGATTTTGTTGTGAAAGGGATCGCCCATCGCCCCAAGAATGAATTACTGACTCGGTGGAGTCGAGTAACTGGTACTACTAGCTTGTGTCTGTTCCTAGTATTTACAGAATGAATATCACTTATTTTTGAAAAACTACGTTTATTCTTGTGTACGTACATTACATTTTCATAAATAAATTGAGAGGCCAGAGTTAATATATTAATTTCCTTAAATTTTTGTCTCAGTGACTCTTTTGGTTTTAAATTATATATTGCTCTAATGGCTCTCTTCTGTAAAATAAATATAATTTCAGCGTCAGTCGCGTGTCCCCATAGCAAAATACCATACTACATAATTCTATGGAAATAACTAAACTATTCTTGCTGTTTCAACACTGGTAAGAGTTCTAATCTTTTTTACAGCATATGCTGCAGAACTAAGTCTGCTAGCTAGTTTTGATATATGGGGGAGCCATTGATGCTTTGCGTCTAGTGTGATTCTAAGAAAAATGGTGGTATCAACAAGACTCAGTTCTTCCCCATTTAAAATTACGTTCGTATTAACATGTTTGACATTAGGAGTTACGAATTTCATACATTTAGTTTTAGTTCCATTTAAATGCAAATTATTAACATTAAACCAATTGACTATCTTAGCTATAGCATTATTTACTTCGTCGTAATTTAATAAATGTCGTTTTAATTTGAAAATTAATGAAGTATCATCAGCAAATAATACTATATCATGGTTATCCCCTACTATGTAAGGTAAGTCATTAATATATACAAGAAACAGAAAGGGGCCGAGAATTGAGCCCTAAGGCACGCCCATTTGTACAGTCGACCCGGAAGAACTCATACTATTAATTACAACTTTTTGCGTTCTGTCACTTAAATATGAAATAATTAATTTAAGAGCATCACTTCTTACACCGTAGTGTTGAAGTTTCCTGATTAATGTTTCATGGTGAACACAATCGAAGGCCTTGGATAGGTCACAGAATATACCCAAAGCATCCTGTGAATTCTCCCATGCATTAAAGATATATTTAATAAGCTCAACACCAGCATCAGTCGTTGAGCGACCCTTGTGAAACTGAATTGATTTTTATGAAGTAAATTATTTACATTAAAAAAATTTAACATTTGATCAAGAATAATTTTTTCAAAATTTTTACTAAGTGTTGGCAGTATAGAAATAGGTCTAAAATTAGCGGGGTCCAATGTACTGCCAGATTTAAATAAAGGTATTACTTTACTATGCTTCATTAAATCAGGAAACAAATCTGGTGTTTTGATACTAGTATTAAAAATAATAGATAGTTGAGGTGCGATTGCATCTATTATAGACGCAATAACTTTAACGGAAATCCCCCACAGATCGGCGGTTTTCTTAATATCAATAGTCTTAAAATATTTTAGAATATCTTTTGATGACACTTTATGAAATGTAAAATTCTTTGTACACGCATTTACATTATGTTTAAGTAATGATTCGGCGACGGCAGGAGAAGAATTCAGTGACTTAGTGGTTAAGATAGGAATATCAGTAAAATATTTCTCGAAAACCATTGCAACGTCCTGATCTGATTCAATTAATTTATTGTTAAAACTTAACTGATAGTTCGAATTGCGAGAGCTAACCTTCCCAATTTCACTATTAATTATACTCCATGTCATTTTAATTTTATTAGAAGCCGTCTCTATTTTGTTGCTCAAATACAATGACTTGGCTATGGAGCACGCTCTTTTAAATATTTTGGAATATTTTTTTACATATTCATTTCATTCATTTCAAATGCGAATGCGTAAAGCTTACATTACCACTAACAGTTTACGTACTTTGAATTTAATTTAATACACGAAATCACACTACTATTAAATCCTCGATGTTGGAGATAAATCCTTCCCCATGACGTTGGATAGACGAAATTGTGAACGCATAACTAAAAATACCTTAGCATTGGTAATGCTGCTACTTACAGACTGAAATTTGAGTGCAGGCGTCCAGCCTTTTAAATGGATTTTCCGTCATCATGTACCTCAATAAGCAGAATACACAGCGCATGCAGATGATATTGGCATTTGTAGATCAAAGTCTGCATATTCTCAAGGTTTCGAGACAAATTGATTTTTTACAATAGTTAACTTTAATAGAAATCTTTAAATAAATTCTATGTCATATGACTGTTACGTGACTTATCACTGAGATATGTGATCTCCATTTATTTTTATAGTTTTTTTGTTGTCATTAATGATTATAAACAGTCAAATCCACTATCCCTGCTAAAGCCAGAACGTGTTTGCGGTCTTCCATTGAAAACTGTAAAGAGAAAAAAGTTAAAGAGAATTGCGTTGACGCAGGGTGCGGGCGGGGGTGTCGCGCGGCACATGGGCCCGCCGGGCGAGGCGATGCCGCCACCGACGGCGCCGGGCGAGCACGACAACGGGCCCGCCGCGCCCGCCACCGCGCTCGTTACCACTGGTCCCGACGGTGCGCCGCTCGACGAGGGCAGCCAGCAGAGCACGCTCAGCAACGCCTCCGCCGGTACCACACCACACTACACTATAGACCTCCAACCGGCCAGCTCTGACTTGCCTTAATAAGAAAATTACGACCTGCAGGCCTATTCGATAACTTCGTTGACATAAATGTTAGTCACTTTGAGGTAATAAAGCTTATTATACTGTTAATGAGTACTTGAATAGATGTATCCCTCCTTATCCTCCATATTGCTATACCTGAAACGGTAGATGTTAGTGCTGTGTAATGTTTATATAGGTATAATATGACATGTAATGTAATTATTAGATAGATAATTAAATTCATTAATAGTACATTACGTATTCTATAACGCTTTTCTATAAAAGCTACCACGGTACATAAAACATATGACGCAGCGTAACTACAAAGGGACTATTTTAATGTCAACAAAGTTAGCGATATATTGGCCTGTTGGATAGTTGGTGGTGTTGGTGTGGTTGTTATGTTAGAGTAGAATAATTGTCTTCACCATTATCACCTTTCTCAACTCGTAGAGTTCTTTTTTATACCGAATTAGCGTTTCCAGTGAAAGGTGTTGTTCCCCGTTCATCACCGGCCTTTAAAGTCTACAGCAGTACAAACTTTTTCACAAAATACGCCAACTATCGTGCAATGTACTCCGTTTTTAAATTCTGGAAACTAAAGTGAACTTCATTTGCTGTAACTTTTTTTAATGTTTTTTTTTTTAATTTTTTATTGCACTCTTACTTATTTCTGCCGCTAAGCAGCAACGCAGCTATTGTGTTCCAGTTTAAAAGATAAAGAGAACTGGTATCATTATTACAGGTTTCGAGACATTTTTATGTTAGTTTCCTGGGGTAAAACGCAACTGTGGCTGCCTACGTAGTAAGATGGTGGTAGGTTTTAATGCGATACAGATTCCAATTACTATGAAAAAATGGAAGGAAGAAAACACATGTACAGCACTAAATATAAAAAGATTTAACATACCAAAAAAATTTTTTCGCAGCATGAAATCGCGAAATGGACCAGTTTCAATGATAGCACCTGTTTTCAGTCTGGCCCATTCCCAGAGGCAACTCTAACTATGTACACGCTCGCTTTTAACTTTTTTTTTATAGAATGTGGGTGACAAAGGTGCACAAAGTTCACTTGATGGTAAGTGAATGCTGCGGCTCTTAGATATCTACATTTATCCTTGATTTAGAATCAAAATCCAGATGATGCGTTGTCAACCTTGAGGACTAAGATGGAATGCCTCGTTACCAATAAAAAAGGATCTCCGGTTCTCTACTTTCACCATACGAAACACATCAGTAAGTTACTGCTATTTTATGCTGGTATTCTGTGTCGAGACATTCGCGCTAGACGTGTACTGATAGCATTTGTGTGTGTAGTGTTATAAGAGAAATGTGCGTGCGTGTTCCAGCGTCGGGCGAGGAGCAGTGCGGGCCGAAGGCGCGCAAGGAGCTGGGCGCGGGCAGCGCGGCGCCGTCGCCGTCGCCCGGCGGCGGCTCGCACTCCTCGCTGCACGACGACTACGACGCGCCCGCCGCCTGGCCGCGTCCGCCCTCCAGCCCCGTAAGCCTCATCGCACACTACCCACACCCAACAACAAACCATCACTGGTTAACTTGTTTCCTTACCCGCCCCACTGCACAACACAATAGGGCGCATATATACCACCCAACGACAAACCATCACTGGTCAACTTCTTTCGTTATCCACCGTACCTCACCACACTACACTACACAATAATCGTCGTCGTATACTACATAGACTCAACTACAAACCCACACTGGTCAAGTTATTTCACTATCAACCCTATCACATCACACCCCACTGCACAACACTATACCAACACAATGCTCATCGCAAATTCTTAGACTCAACAACCAACCCATACTGGTCAATTTATTTCATTACTGTTACTACTAATTACATCTATTAAAGTCCACTGCTGAACAAAAGCTTACATAATAATGCAAACCATGTAGTGGCGGTGTAAGAATACCCACTACCCCGTATCGTCCTGTAGGCGTCATAAGAGGCGACAGTAGGAAGCAAACCAGGAGATGGACAACAGCGCTTTCCGAATAATGACGAAAGAGCCAACTCGCCTGCTAAACATAGCAACCGTTGCAAATACCCCCGCTATAAGGCAATTTATTGAGGAAGCCCACTTCTTTCGATTTGGCGTCGAGTATCCACCAGCTCGGAGTTTCACTGGTCACAAATGTGCACTGTCAGCAAGATATAACGAGTTGTTGGTGTCCGAATATCACAGTTTTGCAGTAACTTCGTCCACGTGCCATTAGTACTTAGTGAACACGTGGTCGATGAGAAGGTTGAGTGGTAATCGAGTCGTCAGTGATCATGAGTCGTCTGAAATACACGGTGCGTGGTCAAAATGTCGTTCATTACTTGGCGCTTTAAAAAAAATGAACTGTCCATGACTTTCACATTTAAATGCCATTACTTTTACTCAAATTGGTGTTGATTCATTGCAAATTGCAACAATCATTACACATATTACCTTACTACTACACATTGTACATATTATACTCTAATGTACACAATACATACCATACAAAACAAATACTACCTTATATATAAATATTTAAAAGTAATTATACTTTATATACTAAATAGTGTGATTTCCTAGTTCAGAAAGCACTACTGATATGAAAAACAATCCAAGTTTAGTCATTTGTAGTTTTCTTCACTCGTTAATCTAAACTCAACATCTACTTATTCAATCTACACAGATGAACAATTAGTCTCGAAACACACCTAAAGATTACAATAAACTTACACTCACACCACAGAACAGCAAATCATACTTACTGATCATTATTCACACTAGTTTTTTTTTGGTCACACTCATAGATCACTGCCCTTTAATGCGTATTTGTAGTGATATCCATCTATAATAATTTCAATGTAGCTGTGTCAATCTACAGATAAATTCTTAGACAGTTTTTTGATGATCATGATTAAAAGTTACCCAAAGCAAAGAATATCCACCATATCACATGATCAGTATATAACATTGTTTGCAATATTAATAAAGCACGGGAGTCTAAATGACACCTTTTTCTAGACTTATTCAATAAGAATGCTAATTAATGTGACTAATAAGTACCTCAACCTGTGTCATAAATTTGATTATTACATCTGACCAGAGAGTGAAAATAATAATTAATGATTTTCGAGATCTTTGTAGATCTTGATGTTTGCAATACTAAATGACAAAATAATATTTAATTAGATATAATTAAAATTAATTTTGTTCTCTGATCACATATGATAGTAATTATATAACTTTAGATTTTTTTGTGTGTGAGTGAGAGGGAAACATTGCATATTATTATCATATATTTCAGGTATTTAACAGTCACATACCGCCGGAGTCCTACAGATCAAAGGTTTATATCAAGTTAGATCGTTAAGCATGTATCTATAACCTGAACTTAATGCATCTAATCAGCTGCACTGCATGGTAGTTCACTTACGTTTAATTCATTTTTGTTATTTTATTTACGCATTATACTGTTAGAGATATGTTTGTTCTTTTAGTGGTTAACCAGCTGTTACAGATATTTGTCTGATTGAAAATTTCATCTTTCATGTTTAAATATGTTCAAGGCAAAACAATAATAATATTCGGTCTAGTCTGAATTAATCACTAAAAGTATAATTAACTAATTTTTTAATAAATTATTACTTTGATGTGCATAGTACTTACTTATGCTTCAATAACTATGTTAGGCTTTGAATTTATTTGCTTTATTTTTTTTTTTTGGTGATGGTACCATATTTGAACACTTATTTACTTACGTCAAAAAGCTGCATCAGTAACATTTTATTTCCTTTTCTTTACTTTACAAAATAATACATCTTTTTACTTTTGATTATAAGATTCGTATATTTTTGTAGTTTCATAGTTTGTGAATGTTACAAGTAAATCTTTTAATAACATTTAAAGTAGCGATGGGCGATTGTTGCAAAAAAACAATCGACTGAATCGAATTTCGATTGTCGATTTAGTAGTACCTCACTATGATTATTGGAATAAAAATCGACAAATTAATAACTGTACGCACACCCCAATCCGCTGCTATGTAATGCAATGCATGCGATTGTGCGTCTGTGAAACGACGTGTGCGTGTGCGTGCGGTGAACTGCTGAACTTTATTTATCGCTAGATTTCTAGCGAAATTTTTAACCAAAAACTTATTTAATTATCTAGGCATAGAAGATAAAGTTGACTGATAGATTTTTTCCTGGTTCATAAGAATGATTTTTTGTTTTCTTTATTATGGTTGTTCTTCCAATCGATGGTTCGATTATAATATGTGGCCGTAGAAGGAAAAGGGGAGATCTCCCGCCGGGCAAGGTGTTTTGCCCGGGGAGCGGCTAACACTCCGAGTGAAGTTCTATATATACTGTTTATGATTCGGAATGTTGATAGCGCGATTTAGGCTTCGGTGTGTTTCGCTTTTAGTGCGACGACAGCGCTGCTACATCACCCCCCTGCTTAGACCGGAGGTCGATAGTGCAGCATCGTTGCCGACGATTGTGCAAATGCCAGGAGATTGCCTTGTAGTCTGCGGTGAGTCGAGACGAAGGCAAGTAATCTGCGAATAATCCGTGAAGCAGAGGCGAGCAGTAAGGCTCAGAGCCGTGCCGAACACTGTAGCGCAGAGTGTAGCTTGAAGGAACAGGAAGCATTATTATTCCAGTGCAAGAAGCTAGATGGCTTGCAGGATATGAAGACTGCAGACGATATCTGCTCGGGAGCGAATGGGTGGGGTATTCTATGACGATGATGAAGCTTGAAGTTTCCGAAGGTTGTTGGTTGCGTGTTCAAATTACGTCGGGGTCACCACTGTGGCTGTAGAAGGAAAAGGGGAGATCTCCCGCCGGGCAAGGTGTTCTGCCCGTGGAGCGGCCAACACTCCGAGTGATAATTCGGAGAAGTTCTATATATATTGTTTATGATTCGGAATGTTGATAGCGCGATTTAGGCTTCGGTATGTTTTGCTTGTAGAGCGACGACAGAGCCGCTACAAATACAAGACAGCCAATTGAATAATCTATTGGTGCCAGTCGCAAACCTAATACCTGCATTCGTAAAGTAAGTAGTGGCGCATAGACTTAGTGCAGCGCACGCCCGCCGCACCATCTTTTGTAACTACTTATTTAGTAGTACGTACAAATAAAAGCAGTGTCAGAGAAATAAAAGCAGACTCAGTCATCGTTGCACGCCGCAAGCCATTAGTCGATAACAATCGACTAACATGGATTGCTATCGAATTTTATCGATTAAACTGAACAATCGACTAATTCGATTAGTTTTTGTATTAATCGCCCATCGCTAATTCAAAGTTGATTTTTATATGACATTATTCATGAATACTATTATTAATTGTTAATTTAAATGCTAAATTATAAATTACATTATTGTGCTGCTCCCTTTTCGTTTTATAGCTTTTATTTCTATTTGTTAAGGAGTCATTGATTTTATATACATATTTAGTAGGTAGATAACAAAATAAATATTTTTTTTTACTTTTATTTTGATTCAAATCCCTTTTGTGCTTCGTAAAAGTATTTATAGAAAATTATATGTAATTTTAGAGTAAAAACCATGTAATGGTAATATAGCTTTATAGATGTTTAGATAAGTGTTGAGTGGAAGAATGGGTGCGGTGTTGTGATATTGTTGTGATGTTGGGTGTGCAGAAGTCGGACTCGCTGGGCAAGCTGTACGAGATGGACGACGCGCCGGAGCGGCGCGGCTGGGTGGAGCGGCTGCTGGCTTTCATGGAGGAGCGGCGCACGCCCATCGCCGCCTGCCCCACCATCTCCAAACAGCCGCTCGACCTCTACCGCCTCTACCTGCTGGTGCGCGACCGCGGCGGCTTCGTCGAGGTACGCACACGCAACGCACTGCTGAACAAACTTAACGAAAGGTTACCGACACCAGTTTGACGTAGCGGCTGTAACATGACAGCGTTGTGCAGTGGCTTAGAATTGGGATAATTTCCGAAACATTTTCAGTATACTGCCGAATACAAATGACGTCGTCAATTGACACTATATTGTACTGGCGTGCCGCCGCCATATTGCGTCGGATATCCGGCCATAATAAAACAATTTTTGATTGTGTGTGCGCTGAATGAAGCATGCCAGAATTTGTTTTTATTTATTCATATACAAAAAATTATAGAATAATTGCTAGTATCTCCAAAACAAAATGACAAAATAATCGCCAATACTTTTCCAATATGGCGCAAATGTATTACGTCATATACTGTCCTATGTTTTGGAACGAATCACCAGTATAGCGTCGATTCATGACGTCATTTGCATTGGACAGTACACTGGGTTCTATTTTGGAACATACCCTTGACGGCGCTGAAGTCCGCGGACTTGAATCCCACACGGAACAAGTATTTGTATGGACTACAAATACTTGTAGGCCATACAAATACTTGCTTGGGGTCTGTATGTTTGTTCTTGTACAATTTATGTATGTATAGTGCCTACGCGATACAGGGAAACATGCAAGTGTTGTAATAACATTTTTCAAAAACAGCTAAAAGTTTTAAGTATTAATTTTGAGTTACCAGAAATATGCTGATTGTTTCTCTCTGTCGCCTCTTTCGAAGGCACGAAATTATACGTATTCTCTTACGCCACTACTATATTCATAAGATTTAATATTTGCAATCATCATTTCTTTTTTTTTTAAATTGAAAGCTTACACACTGACGCTTCGTCATCAATATCGTCGTCGCCATCCCATCCATATCAGAGATTTATACTTACATTGTTTAGTGTCTACAGTTAATTTTGTTGATTACAAACCGCGATCTAAGTCATGTCTTATGTTATTGTACCCACAACATTTGTGTTATTTTAAATAAAAGTGTGTAGTAGAACAATATTTAGTTTTCTAAATGTGTATGTGATTCAGAATAAAATATATGTAATTATAAAAAAAGATCACATTTTGTAATACTATAAAATCAATCATATAGTACATATACTAATATCACAATACTATGATATTCGTAAAGTGGTCGATAGAATGCTTGTGGTTATTAAAATCAAACCCAAAAATGGCATATCTGAAAACGTTGACTGATGATAAATGCCATCAACTGCAGCGCCAGGCCTGCAGTCAAGAAACAGTCTTTCAATAATCAAAAATAATTACATATTACTTTCGATATAGGTTGGTGTAATCTATTTCCTGCACTTTAATTAATATATCCTGCTCCATTCATATCCACTGTCCAGGAAATTATATTATTTAACTTTTTTATTTATGCTTATTAAGCCCATTATAAGTTGGTGTTATATAAACAAGTGTCAAACACTATTTTCTTATAAAAGTTTCTTAATAACTTACAATTGGATCGCCTTTGAAACTGTAAATCGAAACGTTTTTATTCCTATATAGCCTGCAATATTAACGCGCAGCTCCATGCATCTCAGACTAATAGACTTCAACTTGGATTTATGTTAGTGCATGTATCGTCGGCTTTATGAGAACGAGCGTCATAAACTCGCCGACGCTTTAACGATACTTAATAAATTTTTATCATTAGAGTATCGCAAAGGCCGCTTTCAATGCACGAACAATGTTGGTGGCCGTAAAGTGAGCTAGTCGATTGCCGACCGCCGACGGCCGTTAACGTGTACAAGTTTCAGCTCGAAACCATTTTAAAATTCGAAAACCGTCGGCATGGTGAGGTTTCCACTCGTTAACACTGCGGAGTTATCGCCTTTTCCAACGTGAACGTTAAACTCGTGCTTTATACCCGCACGTCGGGCGCCGCTTCGCGCTACGTTGTTTACTGAAAACTTTACACCTGACGTGTTCGGAATATTAGTCCTCGATTTATGTTAGGACTGTTGCGCTTGTGCGCTGCTTCGTTTGCTAAAGTAATGAATGCGTAAAATAACTATAAAAGTGTTCGTCGGTCGTAAAAGTGCAATTTCAAATACATTTAATTTTTTGCATAGCTTTTAGTATTTCAATTAAATTAATTATTTACGATTTCGATATTTTAACTCTAGTTTTGTTGATTAATTGTCTTACTGACATCAGGTGACAAAGAACAAAACGTGGAAAGACATTGCGGGTCTACTGGGAATTGGCGCCTCATCATCAGCCGCGTATACCCTACGCAAGCACTACACAAAGAATCTGCTCGCCTATGAATGCCATTTCGATCGCGGCGGAATCGATCCTCAACCAATTATCAATCAGGTGGAAGCCTCCACAAAAAAGAAGGGCGGCAAGGCCAACAATACTGCAAGTGCTGGTATGTTTTAATTTTTTTTTATTTATATTAATTTACAAAATATTTTTTTACTTTTAACTTAATATGATTAATTATAATGTACGTTTATGTTGTTATGCAAGATTCATAAAACGTAAGATGTCCTGAAGTCGATTACTGGTAACTCACGATTGGACTTTATTTTGGTACTGATGTGTTACAAGAACAATTTTAAGATAAATTAAAAAATTAAGTAAACTATTCAATATGACTTTGATTATACATACATGTGATTGTGTTTTTTGACTTGTGTTATGAAGATGATATTGTAAATGTGTTATGTGATATAAATATCATTTTAAGCTCGGCAGTTAAGCATTTCGCCTTAAAATCTTATAGTATGCTATTAAACAGAGTTCGATCAATGCCAGTAATGATTTTTTCGTTAAACTGATTACCTATGTACTTGGTGGTCAAGATAATCATAGTAAGGAAACTTGCATGTCTGAGAAATAAAATAAAAAACATTTCGTGGACACTAACAACAATACCTTAAATAACCTCTCGGAAGTAGAAAGTCACTGCTGAATAATTTTGCCTCTTCCGCAGACTGTCTCAAAGTCAAAAAAATAAAAATATCTCCTATATTGCCATAATTGCCAAGCTTGGCAAACCGATTGGAAAAAGCAGTTTTTTAAATAATTTTGAGTTATCAAAAAGATGCTGTGCTGCTCTATCTCCTGTTTCAGTTTCCTTCTGTCGCTTCTTACGACACTCTCGGGATGATACGTGTTACTGGATATTCTTTCATCGCCTGTACACAGTTATACTTTTACTAATGTTAGAATATTTTCCCGAGTCCTTCTGTCCCGGTTGTAGAATGCATGTCGGGCGATACTTGAATACGTGTCTGTTTGTTTGTCAGCAGGTTCGTCGAATTCGTCGGAGTCGTTTCCCGGCGGTGGCGCGGCGGCGGGCGGCGCCATGGACGGCTACGCGCCGCAGTACGCCGGCTACCCGCCGCCCGCCAGCCAGCCGCAGGGTACGTACACACGCTCGCACGCACACCCACGCACACACGTACGCTCGTACGCACGCACAGCCTGCTTACCTTACCGCCGGCTCGTGCTTAGGGAATTTGAAAAGTTCATCTGGATAATCACTACAGTCCTTCAATTATACATACATAAACTCTCACGCCTGTCACCAGAGGGGTAGGCAGAGACTACAGACTTCCATTTGGCACAATCCTGACACACCTCTTTCGCCTCCTTCACGTCCATATACGAGGGCGGCACTCAAAATTTCGGGAATCAAGGAAGTGACACAACATTACTATTCAAAAATGTATTTATTGCTTTTCGAAGTATTCTCCGCGAAATTTGACACATTTTTGCATACGATGGAACCAATCATTGAAGCAACCATTCCATTCGGAAGTTCGGGTCTCCAAAATGGCCGTTTTGTAGGCGTCCATAGCTTCTTCAGGTGATGAAAATCTGTCCACGCAATTTATTCTTTATTTTAGGGAAAGTATAGAAATCATTAGGGCTTAGGTCGGGGCTGTACGGCGGATGGTCTAATAATTCTATGTTTTCTTGCTCTAAAAACTCTTTTGTTCTGTGTGCGGTGTGAGAACTCGCATTGTCGTGATGGAGGATGATGTGGCGGTTGCAGTTCTCTTTACGGAGTTCAGAAACGACCTGTGGCAAACAAATGCTAGCATACCATTCTGCATTAACCGTTCTTTGTCCCTCAAGAGGAATAGTCGTAACATGGCCGGTTTTGGAGACAAACGTGGCCACCATTTTTTTTTTCAACACTCCGTGAACTAACAATTTTTGTTGGCTTTAACTCATTTTTCGAACACCCAAACTCGTGACCGGTTTTTTGTTTCGGGTTCGTACGCGTATATCCAGGATTCGTCACCTGATACGATGTTGTATACAGCATTTGAGGATCCTGCGTGGAATCTTTCGAGAGTTCTGACGCACCAAGTAACGCGAGCCGCTTTTTGCTCTTCACAGAGCGAATGCTGTATCCATCGGGAAAACAACTTTTTACACCTAATTGTTCATGCAAGAATATTTGTATTTGACTCATGCCAATGTCTAAAGTTGCCTGAATTTCGCGGTATGTCACATGTCGATCTTCCTCAATCAGCTTACGCACAACATCAACGTTTTCTTGGGTGACTGCAGTTTTTGGACGACCTTGACAGGGATCATCACTGAGCTTGACACATCCACGTTGAAATTCAGCAAACCAGCCAAAAATAGTGGTTTTGGGTGGGGCTTCATCACCAAATGCAGAAATCATCCGGTCAACACACTGTTTTTGTGTTAAACCACTTCGAAAGTCATAATAAATCATCGCTCTTGAATTTTCTCGAGTCAATTCCATTTTCTCAACGACTAAACAAGTTTGACAAAACCTTGTGACAAGACCGAGAATCTTTTTTTAAATAAATAAATGGTATTCGATTTTTAAAACCAAGGAGTTTTCAATTAAAAAGATTTTAATGTGACAGGAACAGTGGAAATATTCCATTCCCGATACTTTTAGTGCAGCCTAGTACTTACGCATACATGCTCGTCGGTTAAGGGTACTCCTAATTTGGCCCGTTTTCAATAAATCGTTAATTTGGTCGATAAATTTCCGCCTAGGACGTTTCCGACTCTGCCATTCACTTCTGCAACATAAATTTTCTTTGTCACTCTCCTCAATCATTCTTTCCACATGACCAGACTACCGAAGCATTCCTTTCTTAATCCTGGTCACAACATCATCTTGCAAAACCACACTCTTCTTTTATAAACACAATTTCTCACCATGTCATTCAAGTTCAGCCCTAACATACTCCTTAACGACCTCTTTTCTACTGCGTTTATTCTACTCTCGTGCTTCTTCTGCCACACCCAACGTTAATTACCATACGTTAAAGTGGGGACCAACAGAGCATTGTGAATTGCCATACGTGCCTTTTTTTACACATTTTGACTCTTCACAGTAGATCCTTCAATTATACTACCATTTTCATCACATGTAGGTATAAATAAATTTCACATGGACAAACACCCTGACCCAGAACTGTTAGTCTGTACACTGCTTCGTCTGTGCAGGAGCTTCTGCGTTACCGAAACATGTTCACACCTAAAAAATAATACGCGCTTATCTTATCATAAAACTATGTTGGTTATACTTACATTCATCAATCACAACTACTAATTCAACATAAAATCAAGAAACACATGTTCAACTAAATATAAAAAAAATATACTTTAAATATAGCGTGTTAAGTCCACACAACACATATACATTCACATTCTTATTAAAATAATATTATTTGAAACTAGTTAATTAGTCGCCTATCCCACAATAGCTAAGTGTAGAAATATATCCTACAAAATTTAGCAATATAATTTTGATTCGGGTGTAAACATAGCGATATAGTGGTAGTTTCAGTTTTTAGAAGCACCCAAAGTTTTAATCGCACTTTTTGAATGATGCTGTACATAAGCTCTCAGTGTTAGATCTAGATGAGACCGGGCGATGCTAGCACGTGCGGACACGAAGCAACGCGTGGGACGCTTGTTTTCTTTATTTGTGCTACTTTCGGCCAACCATGTGTGTAAATGACATTTGCTAACCATATCATGCGTCTCTATGCTTTCCACTAACCTAATTCATAGCACAAGTCGTACCATCAATAATATTCGCACTTTTGCTAAGCCTGGGAATGGTTTTGGGTATTTTTGATGGTAACATGTTGAAAACAACTGTTAGATTGGAGTGTGCTGATACTTTTCTTACAACATTTTGCATTTACCATTTGCAATAACTTACTAAGTATTAATAATTTTCATCTTACATTAGAGCTTTAAGAAACTCATAATAAATTGTTGACTTAGAGCTCAATAACACGTAAGATTTAAATCATCGCGAATCCAGTAATACACTCTTTTTTTTTGCTTTTTGCAACAAAACATAGCTTCCTCAAATTGATTAACACGATTAGTAATCTTTAAAGGGAATTTGTTTTTTAATTTGAGTAGAAAAGTGTCAGTAGTAACCTGGGTAAGAGCGGGTAGAATAAAGCCATGTGGTTGTAGGCGGCGGGCCGGGCGGCGACAACCTCGCCGCCTCCAACCCGTTCGACGAGCCGCCGGGGCCGCGCAGACCCCCAGGTACTTAACCTCCCCGCATGCACCACGCACACGCCCTCCTCTCCCATTTCATAATCCTTCACCTCTCCACATACCATCTGCACTGTGGTGGCTCTGGGAATAAAACATTAAAAACATTAAGTTATGATAGGCCTTACAGAAATGTATTGTGACAGAAGTAAAACTTTTTACTTTCGCAAAGCATAATAATAATTTGCCCTTTACTGGTTTCTCAGTTGAATTTAATTATATTAATTTCAGTATTTTTAAAATAACTGAGAAATATAATCTGTACCTTAAATACAAAATTGTCTTAATTAAAATAGATTATTTAAAAACATTTTTAATAAATTTACGTTCATCTATGATAAATTATGATAATTTAAAAAAATCATGTTTGTCTGCATATCTGCTAAAAATATAGGTAAAATTTACATTAGCAGTATGCCTTTGCGACGATTTTATAATTCATACATCTCTTTAATCTCATTCTTGTAAAATTTTAAACCCTGGATATAATTCATCTCATAAGTAAATAGTCCTTTCCCACTTTTTCGCTTGTTGTGACTGTTACATTTTGTTTGCAGTAGCGCGTGGTTTTGTACCATTAACCCTCTGGCACAACTTAAGCACTATTGGTAGTTATGATTTAGCAATTAAGTTTATCATATACAGGGTTACTGGGAACTCGACAACTACCGGGCAGGGCGTGATAAGGAAGTCAAAATGCTACAAATTTGACCCCCCATATGTATGGCTGAAAATGAACAGGTCTTGAGATGAACGGGTTTTAAAGATTTTTCAGTAATCAACCAGAATTTCGTGTTAAATTCTAAATAAAAATAAAACATTTTTGTGTACTTTCTTTTAAGTTTATTTATTTTCTAAAGAAACTTAAAAGAAAGTACACAAAAAATGTTTAAAAGTCTAACAATGTATAAAAAGTATTCACAATAAAAAAATATGGGTCTTAATAAATTATTTTTTCTTTTCTTTACGTTTTATGTATCATAAAATGTTACGTACTTCAAAAAATTACTATGACATAAAAATATTTTCAAAACATGCCCAATCAGCTATTCTAAAAGGTAGTAATATCCTCGTGAAGACATTTATTTATTCATGATGTACAGTCAAAAAATGAAAGTAATATTAAGACCCATAATTTTTTATTGTGAATACTTTTTGTACCTTTTATGATTGTATTCGCTTCTTTCGGCAATACATTACTGGGTTGGGTCAAATTTGTAGCATTTTGACACTCTGCCAGTAAGTGGTCGAGTTCCCAGCAAGTTTCGTTCCAGAAGTTTACATCAAACTGTTTTTAGGCAAAACATAATAGTCAAATTGTATAAAGAATTTGCATCACATCATTTATGACATCTAGCACAATAAATCTTAGAACACTTTTTTCCATACTTTGTCACAAATAATCGTATTGTTTTTGGCATGTATAGGATTAATGAAAATATAGTACTAGCTGTTGTCTAGTGTGTATTTTAAGAACAGCTGTGCTATTAATTATTATGTTTTTTTTTTATTTCTAAAAATTATTTTTTAATATGGCTTAACAATTATATAATAATAGTTGACGCTTTTTCTTGCATGATATCATTGTTAATAAATGATCATATGGCATTTTACTTTCTAATAAACTAAATATTTATTTACAGGTTACCAACAGGGGTACGGGTACGAATATGGATCACCTTACCCATCAAATAGGCCTGTTTATCCGCCGTATGGCCCGGAAGGTGATAGGTATGCATTTTAAAGTAATTTATTTGTAAATATATCAAAGTAGCAATGGTTGTTAGTAAAAATGTTATTTTTATGGAAATTTGATTTTGAAAAAGTTAAAAGATAGTCCAACTATTGGATAAAAATATATAATAATAATATAAAAATCTATAAGGATTATAAAAATCAATAAGATATAAATTGTATTTTTTAAAATTGTTAAAGAAGTTTTGGATAAGCCGATTATAAAGTAGATCAATGTATTGAGGTCAATTATATGTGGAAATAACTATACTCTGTATGTAGTTGTTTGGCTACTGATATTATTTTGTTAAAACTGACATTCTAAAAATATTCATAGTCTTTTGATAGTATATTATTTTGGTATTAGTTGTAACTATGAAATTTAAAAATGGCAAAAAATACCTTAGAAGTTATTTGCCAATTCTTCTTTTGGATGATCTTGTTTTTGCAAAACTGGTATAGATTTTGACATTCGTAGCTGCTTCAAACCAGCATAATTTGATTAGCATTTTACTATTCCTATATCATATTATACATGATTTAATTATTATATCATATTAATGTTTATTGATTAAATTCCTTTATTAAATCGATGTTACTTGCTAAACTAAATGCTTAAACAATAGTCAAACTTATGATGAACTTTGGAATCGGTTAAATTTGTTTATTTGGAAGATAAATTGTTGTAGAAATTGAAAAAAAAAATATATTGGTATTGATTAGCACCTTTTTGAAAGTGTGGTGCAGTGAGTGCAGCGAGTGAATGAGGCGCGTTTGACGTTTTAGGTCGTACGGCTCGGGCGAGTACCGGTACGGAGGGTACGCGGGCGGGTACCGCGCGGGCGCGCCGCCGCCGGCCGGCACGCCGCCACCCGCGCAGCCCTACCCGGACTACTACCGGCCGCAGCCCGCGCAGCACGCGCCGCACCTGCCGCACGCGCCGCACGCGCCGCACCCGCAACACCCGCCGCACCCGCAACACCCCCAGCACGCGCCGCAGCACTCGCCGCATCCACAGCATCCCCAGCATCCACAGCACCAACAACACCCGCAGCAGCAGCAGCCGCCTATCGAGGTACACGTGTTCCAGAACACTCCGCACTAGTATAGTTATTTTGTAAACATAGCCTTCTGTTCTTGAATGTATAGAATTTATTACTGTAGTTATTTATAAAATATAATAATTGTGTAGCTCCTTATATCTACCAGAGTATATCAATATTTTTGTCATGTAACTAAAGTTTGCCATACCAAAAAACCGGACTCGATATTTGCATCCGAAAATTATTTTTTCTATTTCTTTTCAAAATATTTTTGTGCTGCAGTACCTTGAAGATATAAAGTTTCTAAGTACAAAGCTGTTACAAATGTGATTTCTAATCACTAAAATTCGTATTTTATAATTATAAGAAATTAGTGAATTCTTAATTTCTTTGTAGGCAATATTAAATATATAATATCTATTTTCTAGCATTAAAACCTTATCAGAATTCCTCTAAGTGGTCATCTCTGATGTTTGGAATGTTTTTATTATATTTGAAGTGTAGTTATTTTAGTTTAAGGTGCAATTCCGTAGGCGACTGTCGGCAGCAGCAGCAGACGACGTGTCGCCGCGACATGTCGTGGCGACACGTCGTGGCGACATGTTGCTGCAGTCATGACTCTGAACCCGTCTGTTCCGAGTGTTCAGTGGGACATGATGTCTGACGTGCTTGAAATTAGCGATCACGATTTATTTTTGTATAAGATGATGATAACTTGCTTTTATTATACAAGTATACAGAGAAAAGACAAAAAGACACACGTCCTGTGTTGAGATGCAGAGGAAGTGACGGAATCTTCCTCGGAATTGAAACTCATTTTTAAGAAAAATTCAACGTGTTGTCGCTCTGGCGTTGGCGACACTACTGATCTGCGGTCGGACTACGGTGTCGTCTGCCTCTAGACTCTAGGCAAACGACGTGTCGCTCGCTACGGCACGTATTTCATAGAACTACATAGAAACCAGTTGTGTCGCGACGACACGCCGCTTGCTGCTGCCGTCTGCAGTCGGCTACGGAATTGTGTCCCTTTAATTGACAGTGTAAAAATTTGCATGATGATTGTGTAAGAAATGTATTATTTGTTTATGTTAGTGTGCTTTTACACTGCACAATTAGATTTATGTTAAAACAGGTGAAAAACAGTAATGTGAAAGATAAATATGAATTCATTACATTTAATTAATAGAATCAGGCGTTACTTTGCGGAAATCCATTACATTAAAGATGTTAAGAATTATTTCGTAGTACACATCCGCTGAATAATATAAAATGATGTGTCTTACTTAGTTTGAAGAGCACTTCCCATCCTCCCTCAATTGCGTGCTCTAATCCCATCACCACTAATCCCTGCACCACTACTCCCATCACCATTACACTAGGAAAGACACCATCGACGATAATTTCCTAGTGTAATGGTGTTTGGATTAGTGGTGCTGGGATTGGTGGTGACGGGATTAATGCACGCAATTGAAGGAAGGTGGGAGGTGTTCCTTAAACTAGGTAATAAGACACATCATTTTAATTCATTGAGTGGGATGTGTGCGAAGTAAGTAATTTTTACTAACTTTAATATGAAAATGTTTGTTTGATGTCTGATGTTGCAAACAATGGATTTTAAATACAATCCACATTGGTGTATTTTGGAAAACTCGTTTACGTTTTTTATAACAAGCAAAAAATATATTGCAGCTTATATATTTCCTAGTACATAGGAATCAAAATAAAATTAAAAAAAAAACTGTTGTACTCATGTTTAACTTCATATATTGATATTAATTTGAAGTTAATTTAGTTTCTTTAGTCATATTTTGGAAGTATATCGCTCCCATTTCGTAGCAATTCCTTTTAGTGAAGGTGGGCTGGCCTTGGGTCAGGGCCTTATTGGACTTGGGGCAGAAAGCCGTGTTATACGGTCGTGGAGCTTGTGTGCCCGTGCAAGCGCAGCGTGTGACGGTCTGTTTGGTGGTGTGTAGATGTCGGGCGGCGCGGGCGCGCAGCAGTCGGTCGGTAACCTAATGAGCTCGCAGCTCGCGCGCCAGCTGGTGGCGCCGCTGCCGCCCAGCGCGCGGCCCTACGTACGGACGTTTGTACCACGCACTCCACACGCTTCACATCCGATTGGCGATACGGTCTCATGCTCGCACGCACGGCCCACGGGGACACCCACACCGCGACACGCCGCGACACTGCGATCACTATTAACGAACGAACCGATTATGATATAACATATTACCTTTATACACTTTTAATAATTCTGGTGGCAGTTTCATAATAACATAACATCTAATGTCACTAGAACCATCTAGTATAACTTATTTTATCTCTTTTATTTTTAACTTTTTTTTTAATTTTCGTAAAGTGGTTCGGCTTGTCGAAAACTTAGCGGCACCCATAGTTTGTTCCATGGTTACAGAGTCTAAATTTGTCTAAATCTATACGTTAAAATGCAACCATAATGAGAATAAAAAAAAAGTATAATTATTCTCAGAGAGTTTAATAAATTTGCCATCACTGCTTAAGTAAAACTTTGAATTATATTTAGTCAAATATTATTTACTAAACGATTTTCTATTTTTCAGTATCAACAATATTAGGAATCCAAAAGTAAATAAAAATAGAATAGCAAATAATCGCAAATCATTATCTTTTATGAAATGCCCATCCACCCCAGGTCATTCATTATGGGCTGAGAAAATTATAATATTTGCTATAATATTCAATGAAATTGTTATTAAGTTCATTGTAGTTTTAAATAGTAAAAAAGTCAGTAAAATTCAAACATTTTTTTTAAATTTTAATAGTGATCCAGTGTCAAACAGGCGTGTCTGTTGCTCACGTTGCGATTGGTTTCGTTTCTTCATATCTATGAAAGCGATCACAACGAGGCCAACAGTGACAACGACGTGGGGACAATCATTCGTGGTTTTGGCTTCATATTTTTGAATAATATCACTCGCTTAACGAAATTTCAGCTATCACTGTTAATTTTTTCTTCTGTTTTCGTTTTTAACAAAATTTTGGCTTGCGGTGTGAATAATTGGCATAACAACAGCGCGGACGTCGGTCGAAAGACAGGATGACCGTTTTTAAAGCTGAACCAAAACCCGTTTATCTATCAAAATTTAACAAACAGTTTAAAATATGGAAGTGAAGGTATAGAGTGTGTGGTGGTGGCTTTACACGTTGACAATATAATATTGACCACTGAATCATTTTGCATGCATTTCACAGAGGTCGTTTAAGCTTAGCTATAAGTATAACAGATGTGTAGCTTTGTTTACATTACGGTGACATCCGTCGAATGCATATCACAATTTTTTAGAAACAGTGCTTTTGGTCCTAAATAATTTGAAAAAAAAAAACAGGAATATATGTGCTTGAATATTTTATGTACTGTATATGTTAGGTACGAATGTACCCATATTGTATATATACCAAAATGAGCCACTTAATCTAATGCTAATGAAAGTAATAATAATTAAATAAACTACTACATTATGATTCATTCGACTGATGCGTCGTTCTAAATCATCATTCTTTAATTTAACCTATACGTTTTGGGTTAATGGCTAGTGTAACATTTTTTTAATTTAATATGTTTGTTTTGATTTTAATTTGGATTTGATACAAAAACAAACATATTGAATTTTTCAATTTCAGCTTCTTCAACATTATGATTGTATTACTTTTAATGATAATTGCGTAACTGCCAAAAGTAATTTTTTATTTGATAATTGCATTAATATTGTCATTAAAATTAGATAGACTTGCGTTTTCTAAAGATTGTTTAAATTATGCGCCTGCAGCTAAAAGGAGCGCAAGGCTGTTTTGAAATTATTAATTGGTTAGAAATTTGTTGGTTTTTAAAGTTTAAAATACTATCTCTATGTATTGAACCATTCAGTTTGTAGATAAAATTTATTGAAGCTTAGATACTTTTTTGCACTTTACGGTCTGACCAGAAAAATGAAAATCAAAACAAATTTAAAAATTAAATGTGGGTTAGTGGTTGAGGAGTTTATGTGGTTTCACTGTTAGTTTAAATATGATTTGTTTAACTAGTGGTAATTCGCTAGATAATATCTTAATATATAAAAAATTATATTTGTTTGTTCGTATTTTTTGCGCTGCCATACCGTTCATCAGATTGCGGTAAAACTTTGTTAGTATATTGCTTGCACTTCCGCGAATAGTCGGACCCGGTAGGTGGCGCTGTTGTAGAATCCAGATATCATCCGTGCGAAGCCGGGACAGATTGTTAGTATTATCTTAAATTAACGTCTACAGCAATCTTCTGACGCTGCTTATGTTACATTATGTACATCATCATTACATCATTACAGCCCTTCACAAGTCCACTGCTGAACATAGGCCTCCATTCTCCATTCTCCATCTTGTATAATGTGCGTACGTACATTATGTACGTACGCACATTATACAAGATATGGATTTTTTTTAATTTGTTGATGTTTAGAGAGGAATGACATATACGTTTTTATTTTTAATGAACAGTAAATAGTAGAATGTGACAACTGTGAAATAAAAATTGTAACTATTAATTGTCATGTCGATGCTTTAGGTTGATGATGTTATTTAACAGACGGTAGACCTTTGTATTTCTAACATTGAATAGGTTTTAATTATTACGATTTGAATAAATAGAAGAAACGAAATATCGACAGAGTTGTAGAATCAGGCGAAGGATTTATATTTCTGGTTGGACTCTAATAAGTGGTATTACGTGGTCGCTTCCATAGGTTCAATAGGTAGAGATAGAACAGTATAGATGACGAGGTTATAATACTTAGCGTCTGTCCGACAGTACGGCGGCGGTAAGAACGCGAGCGCGAGCAGTGCGGGCGCAGCGAACTCGGGCGCGGGCGCGGGTGCGGGCGCGGGCGGGGGCGCGGCGGCGGCGGGCGGCGTGGCGGCGGGCGCGCCGCGCCGCCACCCCGATTTCGCGAAGGGCGAGCCGTTCGCGGCGGGCGGCGCGCGCTTCCCGGCCGCGTGGGCCGGCGGCTTTGCGCGCTCGCCCGCCCCGCAGCCCGCCTGGCGCCCGCCGCTGCCCGCCGCGCAGCCGCCCGCCTGGCCGCACCAGCCCTACCAGCCGCAGGTACGCGCACGCACGCATGCACACACATGATATACGAGATCTACGGTACTGCGATTGCCAATCCGATACCTCACTGTATGCTGATCACAGCCAATGTTCTTTACTATCCGTCTTTACAACAGCTCAATAATATCCAACAGTGTACAACATCAATACACTGTCTACAGACTGATAAGCTAATGGGATCTGTCCAATATTTTTTTTAGTTTACGTTATTAATTTCAAAACGGTATTAGACAATTCACCACCTCATATCACGCATTAGCTATCAGCAGTAAGAGGCGACAGCGGAATGCAGTAACACAAGATTTTGTTGTTAAAAACTCAAATAGTTTAAAAAAAAATTACTTATAGGAAATCGTCTGCTAATAAACGTGGCAATTATAGTAAAAACCTGGGGCAAATGAGAAATGGCCTATGGGAAAGAGAGACTCACCCAAAGAGTAAGAAAGACAATCTGTGTTTTTGGGTCATACCTATTTCACAGAATCAGAGAGAAAAAAAAACAGATATATATATATATACACAAATAAAGAGTAAGAAAGAAAAACAGACTGAGCAATGATATTAATTATTTTGTATTATATATAAATAGTGTCCACGGAGGCACCTCACTATTTGGATTTTTCATAAAATTTAATGACATTATTCCCGTTGTTTCATTAATTTATTGTCATTATATATGTACAAATCTGTAACCAGTGTGTGACACAGTTGTTTATTATAATTATATGTTACCAATTTTCATAAAGTTTATAACTTGACAAATTTATTCACAAAGCTCCACTATTTTATGAAATAGTATTGAGGTTGAGCATTATTTGCCTTGAGTAATTAATCTATTTTATATGCACTATGTACACATCTCTAGTGCATGATAAAAACTAGCATATTATGTTATAATAGATCTCATTAATTTTATGTAGTATAAAGTGAGATGCACAACTATAATTTTGTGTTAATATAATAAAATAATATATTTTTCGCGTTGTCGCGTTTATGTTTACTATATACTAGTAAACGTATGCAAATAAATAAAAAGTGTGGTGTCGAACTAATAATAGCTATTTCTAAAAAATCTAAATATGGTGCATCTTCGTGGATTATTTTATTTATTGATAATAATACTTTTATTAACTGCTATCACTTAAATATATTTAATCCATACTGCATTATATTTTACGTAATTTATATACATGACTTATTTGTGTATGCATATCCTTAGAATCCATTGGGAAAGAATCAATTTAGAATCAATTATAATCTTACTTGCATAATCATTTTGCTACTACAAAAGTAGATAGGATACGCAGATCATGACCACAAAGCTACCGCTGTTTAGCTTACATAGTATTACAATAAATATGTTCTCTATATTCTGTACTATCTATATTTCCTCCAAAAAATCTATAGCAGTGTTAATTAAAAATTAACTGAGTACATTTATTTGGGTAGGATTAAGAAAAAGATCTCCAAAAAAAGTGACAGTAAAATTATCCTCTCCACTAAAAATATTCATACTGTGTTGCATATCATTTCCATTTCGCATAACTTTCATACCGAATAACTGCTTTTATACTCATTATTGCATTTATTATAATAGCCTATAGCTCTTATATCTTTATAGATATCGATGTTTACGTCTAACAACTAAGCATAACACATTAACTTATGTTGACTTAGCTGTGTTCGCGTTTGCCTGAAACTCTTTTGTAAATACATATTCACATTATTAATTAAAATTCAACAATAATAAGAGCAAGCAATCATTATGACAATGAAACTATATTAGTGTGATCGATTTCAACAAACAACTACTTTATGGGCTCAGATCAGAAAAGAAAGATGGACAGCACATTAATTATATATATATTAACTTACATTTCAAGCGACGCAGATACCATGTTTCACTTATTGTAAAATCTCTCCCGCATACATATGATGCACCTAAACCATGTTATTGTTTGCAAATGGTTCTAGATGTACCGCGTCACTTGAAATTTACGTAATGTTTGAGCCATAATAGTGCCCGCGTTATCAACTGAGTCGTCGGACCATAAATGTCAATAGGAATGTGCCACCGCTGTGCGCCTCATTGAATTTGTCGTTATTTGTTTATGTTTATAAGATAACAAGGTAAGAAAGGACCTCTGTATATTTTTTTCATTCCTATTTCTCACTTCGATCTCGACAGTTATGCTTAATGGATTATAAATCTACAGGAAGACGATAGTGACAGAGATGACTCGGATGAAGAAGATAATTTGTATTATAATTTCAAACCTCATTATGACGCTTCATAAGTCCAATGAGTGCGAGAGAGATAGACTGATTACAAAGATTCATTGCCCGACGACCCAGTTGATAACGCGGACACTATAGTGAAGTGGGCACGCGTAGAGTGCGCGGTAGCATTGTGGTCGTGGTGAGTTAGGGCGCGGTGTGGTGTGGTGAATTTGCCGGGGAGTGGGGGAGCGGGGAGCGGGGAGCGGAAGTGCTCGCACCGGGTGGGCTAACACGTGTGTGTTGTGTAGACGCCGGGCGGGCCGGCGTGGGGCGCGCCGCGGCCGCCGCTCGAGCTGCCGCCCGCCGCGCCGTCGCCTGTGAGTGCACGCACGCGCACACACCCATACATGCACACGCATCGCACGCACGTATATTCACACGCATACGCACGTATAACGCACACGCGCGCACGAATACACGCATACATACGCGCGTCATCGCGTGTAGGTCACGACATTTAGAACGATAAACAAGCTGTGCAATAGTCGTGACCACCCGGTGAAACGAATTCACGCTACGTACCCTATTATTAGACAGTCGACTAATTCTTACAATTGTGCAATATTGGCTCAAGTATACATCCGACATCGCACAAATTTTCGATATAATATCAATCGTGCTTAGCATGAGCTTAAGGCTTGTTGACGCCCTCTATCGTAAAACGCTCTACAAACAGAAATCACAGAAAAAAGTGTTGATTGCATGTTCATCGATACTCCTCGATTTATTTCTTTCGCTGTTATATACATAGTTACCACTTACCAGTAGGTTAAGGTGCTGTTGGGCTTAATCTACTTTTAAGAATTTTTGTTGCTCAACTCAATACTAAATGAGTTGGCAATAAAAATTCTTATCTATACCACTATCCAAAAATTTTAATACGCGCCTTATGGATATATTTGCTAGCTGCATTTTGTAGTTTGTTTTAAAACTTTTTTATCAATCAACATAAGAAGACAGTTCGGTAAATTTTTCGCAAAAATAATCTTGTTCAATCAGTGGTATAGAAAGTCGTTATCAATGGACGAAAATTTTTTATTTACTCTTTTTATAATTTCCCTTTTGTTACTGCTTGCTTCCTCTGACTTTAGTGCTTATCTAACCGAGTTTAGCTTCAATTTTAAAATAGTTTTTATTAGTTTCATTATTCTATCTATTTTCAATGACTCTTAAATAATTAATTTTTGATAAAATTTCCTTACACGTTTTATGTAGTTATTTGTGTGTATTTTAAAAATACTATTACGTACGTGTATTATAATAATTCTTAATGTATATAATATATAAAATATATATTTTCCTGAAACATTTTTTGTACATAAATATTTAATTATAATGCAAGATCATCAAAATTCACTGTATATTATTTAAGGAGAGGGATGAAACTAATATCATTCAAAAGGTACTGTGCCACAGATGTGCCCAAAAAAATAATTATCAATGTTACGGCGGGTTAAGAAAAGTGAATGAATATATACAACTGAATTTTCCATACAAATGGCTTTAACCAATTAAATTAACGCAATTTTATCAAGAACACGACTGTATGAGTTAAAAACCACTTTGCTTTCCTTACATGGAAAATTATAACAAAAAGGTGATGCGAACAAATTCTTGGCGCTGTTTTTACCCCAGAATTTTGACCTCAGACAATACTGGTATATATAGAAAAGTAGCCAATTAACGTTCTTTAGCGTTCTAAGATTACAGTTATTGATTATTTTTAATTTATTTAAAATGACAGTTAAATGGTGCATAAATATATATACCTAAAATTATTATTTTTATATGCAGGGTGCGGTACCAGGCGTAGGAGCAGGACAAATCAAGCGAGAGTTGACGTTCCCTCCAGATTGTGTGGAAGCGACAGTACCCACTGCCGAAAAAAGGCGGCGGCTCACGAAGGCTGACGTCGCACCAGTTGATGCGTGGCGAATAATGATGGCCTTAAAATCCGGTCTCCTGGCGGAGACATGTTGGGCGCTGGACATCTTAAACATATTGCTTTTCGACGACAACTGTATAAGCTATTTTGGACTGCAACATATGCCCGGACTTCTCGACTTGTTGCTCGAGCATTTCCATAAAAGTTTGAGTGACGTATTCGACGCCCCAATGCCGGAAAATGAACCGTGGTACGCCACTCCCGCCGAGGCCGAACCGCCCGCCAAAGTGCGCCGAAGAGCCGAGCCGCCCGATCCCGCCGACAACGTACGCATACTCTCCGGCGAAAACTACACGTGCCAGTCGCGGCGGCGCCATCCCGTCGTGTACAAGGGCGACGACGAACTGTTTGCGCCCGAAGACTGCGAATCGGACGGCGAGCATGTGGAGGACGTGTTAGAACCTTGGCAGTTCGGCGGCTACTCGGCGGGCGCCGCCCACGTGGTGCCGTGTTTCCGCGCAGAGTTCCTGCCGCTGCCGTTCGTGCGCGTGCTTCCGTCGCAGCGCGCCTCAGAACCCGTCGCGCAGCCAGAGCCCGTCACGAAGTCCGAACCTGCGCCCGCGCCGACGCCTACTCCCACACCGGAACCGCCCGACGCGCCCGACGCCCACACACCGCCGCCGTCCGACCGCGACAACCTCGAAGCGGAGCCCATGGAACTGGAACCCGAGCGGCGGCCCACCCTTCTCGTCCGCGACCCTGCGGGCGTGCTGAAGCGGCGGCGCCTCGAGGACTACGAGGACGAGTGCTATACGCGGGACGAGCCCAGCTTAAACCTCGTGAACGAGACGCGTGACGCGCTGGCGAAACGGTGTATCGCGCTGTCGAATATTCTGCGCGGGCTGACGTTCGTGCCCGGTAACGAGGCGGAGTTCTCGCGGTCGAGCGCGTTTCTGGCGGGGGCGGGCAAGCTGCTGCTGCTGCACCACGAGCACGCGCCGCGGGCGGCGCGCGCGCGCGCTTACGAACGGGCGGCGCGCGACGACGCGGACGTGGACGCGTGCTGTTCCAGCCTACGCGGCGAGCACGAGTGGTGGTGGGACACGCTGGCGCAGCTGCGCGAGGACGCGCTTGTGTGTTGCGCCAACATCGCGGGCGGCGTCGAGCTGGCCGGTCAACCCGAGGCGGTGGCGCGGCCGCTGCTGGATGGGCTGCTGCACTGGAGCGTGTGCCCGGCGGCCGTGGCAGGCGACGCGCCGCCGGCGGCCGCGGCTGGCTCACCGCTGTCGCCACGCCGGCTGGCGCTCGAGGCGCTGTGTAAGCTATGCGTGACGGACGCGAACGTGGACCTGGTGCTGGCGACGCCGCCGCGAGGGCGCGTGGCGCAGCTGTGCGCGGGGCTGGCGCGCGACCTGTGCCGGCCCGAGCGGCCCGTGCTGCGCGAGTTCGCCGTCAACATTCTACACTACCTGGCGGGTGCGGGCGGCGCGGCTGCGCGCGAGGTGGCGCTGCACGCGCCCGCCGTGGCGCAGCTGGTAGCGTTCATCGAGCGCGCCGAGCACGCGGCGCTAGGCGTGGCCAACCAGCACGGCGTGGCGGCGCTGCGAGATAACCCCGACGCCATGGGCACGTCGCTGGATATGCTGCGGCGCGCCGCCGCCACGCTGCTGCGCCTGGCCGAGCACCCGGAGAACCGGCCGCTTATCCGCCGCCACGAGCGCCGCCTGCTCTCGCTCGTTATGAGCCAGATCCTCGACCAGAAGGTGGCGCACGAGCTTGCCGACGTGCTCTACCACTGCAGCCAGCGGACCGAACTCGACGCGACCGCGCAACACGAACACTAGGCGGACTCTGTGCAGTGTGTGTGTGGTGGGTGTGGTCTGTGCTCGAGTCAAGTGAGTGAAGTGAGCCGCGTGCTCGAGTAACGCGGACGCAGACTGAACTACCTGTCGGTACGTGTACATATTAGTGATACGCGCGCCCCGAACGCGGCGCTCCGTTTTCCGTTTCTCGTGACTATGAGATCATTTATAGCGGTGTCTGAAATGTTAGGCTGTACAATCCAATTTTTTGTTATTTATGTCCATGATGATTTATTTACAAGAATGTCAATGTGCTATAATCGATTTCTATTGTTCGATTGAGAAACAGATGTATTATAACTCGTAATTTTGATTTTTATAATAAAATGGGACTTGAATCTGTTTATTGGTTTTATGATGGAGATTTTATACCAAGTACCTTTTAGCGCCTTTGTCTATAAAAGAAGTAGTGAAGTGTGAGGAGCTTATGTGGGCTATAAGATTTAATTAAGTTTAATGTGAATTATTACAATAATCTATAATATATTGAAATTGAATCTGAATTTACTTTTTTTTGAATTGGCATTTTTAACTCTTCCTCTCTAATATTCTAAATTTTATCTATGAAAATGTTCAGTAACCCTATAAAATATCACAACTTCCTGAATGACCAAACAGTTTCAAGTATGAATTGTTATTTATATTATACACTTAATTAGATGAAAACGTTATTGCAATTTTTTCTTTCTGATCATTGCAGACCCAATTAATAAACTTGTGTGGTATACGAAAGGAAATATATAAGGATTGAAATATAGTATTTAAAATTTACAAGGAAAATATTTTTCTGTGTTCTTCAATCCATTTTTCATTTGACTGTTTCTTTCATTGATAGGTTTTATTTCTTTCACTATTGATTATTATTTAATAATTTGCATTTTATGTACATAAATTTATTCAATAATTATTAAAAAGAATACTATTTTTGACATTGCATATAAACTAAATTTATGCCTACTTTTCATCCCAATCCTTGATATAAATTTGAACTGCGTCATGCTGAGTAATTAATGGGGGATTTTGAAAAAAAAAACTTTGCTAATGGCAACCAACAATCGGTTTGGCCCAGAAGTGTTACAAAAAAGAGGAAAACATGAATACTATAAAATTTTAATATACTATGGGGTATAGCAATGAATTACCGTTTTATATTAACATATCGATGTTTACCCCCTGCTATCTTGAAGAAAAGTAAAGAGAAGTCTTTGCGATAGAACTCTAAGGGTCTGGACACAGCAAAGTCAATGAAGGCATTTGCGCCATTCTGAGAACAAAATTTTTTTCTCTGCAGGGAGTTGGCTAAATTGTAGAAAAAATTGTGATAGGTTGTGGCTAGTTTTGGTGAGTATGGAGGATGACTTATGGTTTCTAAGTGCATGTCTTATCATGTTAAAATGGTTTGTATTGCTTTTATGAAGTAATAATAGCGAAAATCAATTAACAAGTAGGGTTTATTCTTTGAGAGGTTCACCATCATTATCCGAAGTTCTTAACAATAGACATTTTCTGTTGATATACCGGATCTCCAAAAGCTATAATGAATTACACCATGAGTTGACTACTAAACAGTTATCATTACTTTTATATGTGAGCTGGATTCGATTTTGGATATTTTACAGTTATTTGGGTTTAGTCATAGTCATTGCGTTTTTCATTTTTTTTTTTTTGAATATTTGGAACACCAACAGCATATAAACGTTACATGAATACAAATTGGACATTTCGACAAAGCCATTTACAGGTATTCCCTTGCAATTATCTTAGGGTAAGCGCGCACTGGCGGCCAGATAGCAGCGGCCAGTATTGCGACCAGGCCGCAAGAGTCACGACCAAGCACGCTGCCAGAACTGCGGCCAAAATTGTCAGTCCCGAGCTCCCGAGTACAGAGTGCTTTGCAATGGACGTCGAGGAATTAGCTGTGATGGTTTATCTTGCAAGTAAGAAGCAAAAAAACAAGAAGAAAAGATTCTGGATTCATCCATTACTGTGTGAAAGACACTATAAGGGATTATTTCAGACATACTTTACTCACCTTAAACAACATAATGATAAGTTTTTCAATTATTTAAGAATGGGCAAGCCCTCGTTTGATAAACTTTTCCAAAATATGCGGCGGCCAGTGCGCGCACACTGGCGCACGATCCTACAATTCTTCGAATCCCAGTGGTCGCGGCGGCCAGCGGCCAATACGGGTCTCAGGTTACGTCGCAATGATCTCATTGGCCGCTGCGACCGCTGGCCGCTTGCGGCCAGGTGCGCGCACTGCGAATAAAATGCATATAGTTGCCGACACGAGTCGTGAGCACAGATAAACTGTGGTGGGAGGTAGGTACACTGTCGGGCAAAATTATTGGGTACTTTTATTATTTCAATTCGTAATTGAATATTTTCGCCGACTTTTATGAAAATGTTTACTCGAACACATCAACTTTTACTTTGATACAGTAATGTTGCAGATATTCGTGTCCGTTATTTTATTATCTACTATAAAGTATTTAATGTATACCTGGTGGTTAGAATTGATTATTTTATTAAGAAGAAGGAAGAGGTGATATGCCTTCCATAAAATCTGGTGTTGCGGTGCGCCGTACAGTAGCTACTGAGACATTAGTCGCCTCAACAGTCTGTTTATATACGTCTATGATGTTTTTCGCAGTACATAATTTTTTCATGTAACTAAACACTGAATAGACCATTTGTCGGGATTGTCTATTTAACACCAAATTCTTCCTTCTCTGTATATTTAGACCAAAATCTGAACACTCAATTATAACAACAAAAATAATTAAAAACAAGAAATAACAAAAACAATAACAAGGCGTACAAAAACAATAATTAACAACGACGTAACAAAAACAATTAAAGAAAATAAACTAATTAAAAAAGTTATCACTAAAATTATTGCTCTGAAGTGTACGGAAGCCGAATGATACGTTCGAAACCAATACAGGACGAGAATCGACTGATGAACCAACCAATCACGTTGAACGTCAGCGTGGTCAACGTCGTATCGACCAATAAAAAGTGTGCTCACGACTTATGTCGGCAATTATTTTCGGTGGCCGCCGCGGCCTGGCCGCTGTTACCTGGCCGCCAGTGCGCGCTTACCCTTAGGGAATACATTTTTCATCATAACACTATGTTGTCCAAAATGCCTTCATTCCTGTGTCCACTCATAATAACAAAGGTAAGCTTTCAATGTGTGAACTATGCAATGCGTGCCAGTAATGTTAATTGATGAGGCACCAATTTTTCAAGTTTTTTATTTTACTAATTTGACGGAAATTAGTTAATATTTTGAGCACGTCAAACCATGATGCTAATTCCTTGGTTGTTTTATAAGGCGAATGGACAAAGCACGGTGTTAAGCCAACTGCATTCATCGACATCCTGCATGTCTTATCAGGTCATCACTCCATTTAGTGGGGGCTGCTCTACATTGCCGACCAGTACGAGGCTGCCACTCTAGAACCTTTTTCCCCATCGGTTGTCGGTTCTTCGAGGTATATGGCCGGCCCATTGCCACTTCAGCTACTTATTGTTGGGCTATTTCGGAAGTCTATCACGCAGAGAAAACGTACACAATGTAGTCCTTATGGCAGGATCGCAATGACCTTAAGCACTATGCTTTAGTACCTCAACCGTGTCTCCTGGCAGATAGGTCCTAAAATAAACATGGAAAAAACAAAGATCATGTGTGATCGACACCCATGGCGATAGTTGTTGGGAACACCGTAAGGCGAAAGAAGATTAAAATTTAAAGGGGTTTAGTATAGACATGTGGTTAAAGTTTTTACTCGTAATTATGAAGTTAAAAATAAATAATCTTTACCTTAATAGTTAAAGGTCGTCGTCTGTATTAAATAAAAACGCAAACTACATATTTTAATCACTTCCCTACAATAGGCTAACAAAATAATTCACGAATGATGAGGAATAAAACTTATTCGGACCCAGGCTGTGTATGTAAGTAACGTTGTGAAAATAACAATTTTAGTGCTTAATATGGTAAGTCACAAGATGAACAACAAACAAGATTTTATTCAAACATAAGGTTGAGCTCGTTCCTGATGTTAAAACTTCATCGTCGACTAGTTAACTGCTGAATTTGGCCTGCCCCAGGCTATGACAATTTTTAACACTTAGTCAAATTAATTCACGAATGACGTGTATGTTTTTGACCTGGTACTCAAAATATGGAGCAGTATTAGCTCCAAAGGCTAAGCGTCCTTACACCATGCCGGCACCAATGAAATTGTTAATAGCAATTTTCTTGATTTATCACGTGCTCTGCTGTGAAGGACAACGTGAGGAAACCTTGACATAGTTACACAAAATAATATTCTTAGTACATATCGTCTGCCAACACGCACTGAAGCAACACAGTGGTTGCCTTCTCTATGGTGGTTACGTAGTACCTAACATTATTTACTCTGTGACAGAGGACTCATTGCTTACATATACAGGCCCCCACAAATATGAGAAGAGGCCTGTGTCCAATTGTTGTGGGGCATTTTTCAGTTGTACTGAGTATAGTATGGACACAGAATAAATACTGGATATGGTATGGATTACAGACGTCTTTTGAAATTTTGTCTAATTCTGCCGCCGCCCAAAATCTGGATCCCATTAGGTTAGGTAGGATAAGGTTTTCTGGGAAGGGCGATCGCCACGATCTTCCCAGAAGACCGGTCAAGTCCCTCAGGTCACCTGCCGTCTTCATGGCAGTGGCAAGATGAGATGGGGGTGGCTGTCGAGGGGCTGGACCGAGCCGTTAGCCGTTTGAAAGTCCGCAACACAGCACCGGGGCCCGACGGAATCCCGGGCCATGCCCTAGTACTGAGTGTGGCTGCCCTGGGGGACAGGCTCAGGCAGCTGTTTAGCAGCTGTCTGCGGTGTGCCACGTTCCCCACAGCCTGGAAACAGGCAAGGCTGGTCCTCTTGACGAAGGAGGGCATGGTCGCTGATTGTCCCTCTGCGTACCGCCCCATATGGCTGTTGAACGAGATTGGCAAATTGTTCGAGAGGATAGTTGCCACTCGGCTCAATAGACATCTGTCGCGTATCGGTCACGATTTGGCTAATAGCCAGTTTTGGTTCCGACGGGAGCATTCCACTGTAGAAGCGACTATGCGCGTCCGCTCCCTGTCGGAACAAACAGTCGCCTTTAACTCCCTACCCTGGGAAGCAATCAGGAGAACACTGGCACATCATCAAGTCCCCCCTTCCTGCAAGGTGTTAACGGGGACTACTTGCGCGACAGGTACATTCTGTATATGTGGTAAGATCCGGAGGGAGATTAAACGTGGGGTTCCACAGGGCTCGGTGCTGGGTCCACTACTGTGGAACCTCGCGTACGATGCGGTTCTGCGAGTCGACCTTCCCGATATCGTGTGTTATGCTGACGACACATTGGTTACGCCAGCGGGATAACTTTCGAGAGGGTCAGGGAGCCCGCAGAGCTTGGGGCGGAAGTCGTCGCCAAAATCTACGAGTTGGGTTTAGAAATAAAGCCTAACAAAACCAAGGCTCTATGGTTCCATAAATTACCACGGGGCGGGGAACTACCCAACTCGTACGTCTGCGTGGGTGGGTCTGACGTCAGAGTGGGGAGGCACATGAAGTACCTAGGCTTCCACCTGGCTTCGAAGAACATTTCGAGCGTCTAGTTACCCGCATCGAAAGGGTGGCGGGTGCTATGCATAGACTGCTACCCAATCTAGGGGGACCGACGGAGGAAGTACGTCGCCTCTACGCGAGAGTTATACGGTCCGAGGCTCTGTATGGAGTGCCTGTATGTGGCAAAAAGGCTGGCCATTAGACTCTGTAGAATTAAAATCTACAGTGTGCAGCAGAGGACGGTCATACGGATCGTACGAGGATACCGCACTTCATCCTTTGAGGCGGCGACAATCCTGGCTCGCTTTCGATGGAAGCGATTAGATGTACGCGAGGGTGTACGTCCGGATTCGTGCCCTCCGCCAGAAAGGTGGTAGTGAGCCAGAAGAGGAGCTCAAATCAATTAAACGGCAGGAACGGCTAAACGTTCTGGCGACATCGTGCACTCGACTCGAGGAGCGCTATAAACGCAAACGCGTCATTGGAGCAATCCTGCATGTCTTCGAAGCCCCGGTGCAGCGACAAGTAGAAAAACTCACCTACGGACTTAAATAAATTACCGGGCATGGGTGCTTCGGTGATTACCTGCGTAAGATCGGACGTGAGGCGACGGCGTACTGCTTTCACTGCGGAGGACGGGACCAGGACTCCGCTTCCCACACGCTCGCGGTATGCCTCAGGAACGGGAGCAGACGATTCTGGTAAACCGCATCGGACGGAACCTCTCCCTGCCAGCAGTAGTGTCGACGATGCTGAGCGGGGACTCGGCGTGGAGGGCCGTAGTCACCTTCTGTGAATCCGTTATGATTTAGAAGGAGGCTTCTTAGCGGGATCGGGGGAAGGCGGGTCCCGTTCGGAGACGAGCGTTAGTCACGGCCGTCCTCTTGAAGACGGTGTTCCTGGTAGTTACGTTGTACCAGTTCTGGCTCACTGAGTCAGAAGTGGTACAACGTTCGTCGACTCACGATACTAAAAAAAAAGGTTTTGGCATTCTCTGATCACGAATCTGCGGTCCGTTTTTGCGTAGGATGTACGGTTACAGAGATCCGGTGAGGGCCTCCACCGTCATTAGCGTCCCACCGTTATTATCTATTTATCTATTGTGCATTAAACACCGTCATTGTCTATTCTTCCTGTGCGTCGGCTTATCACTGCTATTGTATTATACTTCTTTATTCGTAACTACAACGCTAATCTGAATCATCAATAAAACACATTACTGAATTTTTTACAATTTTTATTCACAAAATACAAAATCTTATTACTTATTATCTATAAAATAGGAGCGAAACATCTCATCCACTAAAATAACGTTATACAATGTTGATTAAAACTACTTTTACGGATTTTATCGCGTTTATTTTACTATTATTTTTAATTCCCGACGTTTCGGGCGCTTTCCAGCACCCATGATCATGAGGGACTGAGATGACTGACGTCCCGATGTTATTGTTAAACCCGGAGTACCTTCAGCTTTTTTTAATTATTGTTTATGGTCCGATCTATGCAAAATGAACTGACTATGTCCTGAGGTCTTGCAGTGGTATGCTTGGGTTTAGTTTTAATTTTATTGATTATAGGATCCCAAGCAGGTGGTAGTACCCAGCCTCCTTCTCTATTGAAATTAGGATGTTTTTTTAATTTCAATAGCCT